CTGTGTTTATTATTTGGTGTGTGTGTGTGTCTTGTACTTAGTTTTATTCCGAATTAGATGTAATATGCCTTTTGCTGTGTTATGATATTAAATTAAATTGGTGTTCTCCTAATTCCCCATTCTAGTATGACCAGCAGAGTGCAGCTGAAGCAGGACAGGCTTGTAGGTCTTACTGATTCCTCCAGCTGCTAGAGACGATCAGAGCATGAGGATGGAGAGACCAGCAAGTGTTGAGTCAGAGAAGGCCAGGTAGGGAAGGAAGTGTTGCTTTTAGGGGCCGGGTGTGTTTGGCTAAATATATTTCTCCAAGTCAGTTTATTTATTGGTTCGCCAACGCAAATAAAGTTGTATAAGCAAGAAAACGAGTTCAACCAAAAAAAATAGACTCAACCAAAACAAAAGTTTCAATCAAAAAATTAGTGACTTCAATCAAAAAAAATCTTTAAAAAATGTTTTGTTTTGTAAAAAATTATTTTTATGATTAAAAACTTTTTAAGATTTTTTTTTGTTTGACATGATTTTTTTTTTGATTGAATAATTGTGAAACAAATCTAACTCCATAAATCCGTCTCTCTTTAAAGACATTTCCCACTTCTTCCTCACATTGTGTCTTTATGAAACCTTCAAAACAAAAACGGGAGATTTGGGATGTATCTTACTTTTGACAGAGTGAAATAATTACATATAAATAATAGTCTTTACCACCTGTGTAAACTTTGCTGGTGAATGTTATAACACATATAAGTTTTATAATATACGTTATTGTTTCATTTCTAATGTAGGCTCTTGTGTCAGATAATCTAAGTCAATGTTAGAGAATAATACATTTTTTTTAGATTTACGGAATCTCAGTTAGCCTTCATAGCAGGGCTGAACCCCGGTATTACACCAAGCACTGTAGCTAATATTAACTGGTATCTCGCCAGTAGACATAAATACAGTAATCACAAAATATACACAATAATATGTCCATCTTACTTGTGAAATGTTGTCTGTGTTTTTTGTTCATATATATATATATATCTGTCTGTGTGTGTGTACTGATGTTGTGGTTATTGCACAAGGATGATCAAATGTGAGAATAGTACAGCCATTTACTGGACCCCAGATTTACACATAGCTCCCCAGCTAACTTTACTGCTGTTTTGAATGCTTATGACAAAATATATCAAAGTTTGATATATCGCCAGTTTCCTCATCTCCAAAATGAGTATACATATGGGTCAGTTTGCATGAGGAATCTCACATTCTTCCATTATTATTTTATAGCTCACATTTGGCTTTGATACTATTGTGATTCTATGCAACTGTCATAAAACTAAGAGAGCTGAAAGACACGCAACTTTTCAGGATTTTATTCTGACAAAAACAAATCATATATTGTCTTTAATTGTTTGAGACTCTGACACTTCAGAAACACTTTAGTGCATCAAGGAACATCCAGACATTACCCAGAGAATATGATGTGTTTATGAACCAGCTTGCTCCCAAGGGAATGACAGCATATTCAGATGTAGTCCCCTGAAAACTAAATCAACTGTTTTCTCTCACAAAACTTTAAACATCTGTTTCTGCTTAAAGTTTAAATTTCATTTAAAGCACTTATGTTTAATAAAGCATAAATTGTGTTAAAGTCAGCTTAGTACATTTAAATGGTAATTTACATTTACTAAAATAAAATCCTGAACAAGGAAATATTTTCTAGCTCATTCTGTTTCAATTTATCAAAAGAGATACAGTAACTCATCTTCCACAGAACGGCAAACTAGAGGAATGATGGATGGAAATAAGACAGATGGAGGGTCAGATGGAACTATGTCAGGAAGCATGTTCTCTAGTCTACTGTTCATGCAGCTTCTTTTGTGGCTCTTAGCAGTATGAAGAGGTAAATAACTGCTGCAATATTACCACAAAGCTATCCACATGATAAAGTCAGCAATCAGCACTCATTAAACACCAACTTCCTATTGCGCCCTATTGTCATCACAGCTTAAAATAAATGCTTGTGTGTGAGACGAGTCCCTCCTCCCGAAACATAATAGAACAATCTGCCAAATCCTCAGAGTTATTGCCCAGCTGATTTCAAGCAGATGCAATGGAATCATGTAAAGAACCTTCTCAGGCTTTGGGACATTACAAACACAAAGACAGCAGATTAAAAAGAATTGCTTTAAAGCAGGTGGGGTGTCCTCCGTCAATCGTCTGGTTCAGCTACACACTGCTCCACAATTTCTCTGAGGTTGGGGTTTTCCATGGCAGCTGCTATCCGCTCCTTATCATTGATCTGTTTGTTAACTGCAGACATGAACAGAACGTTCTCACTCAGTTAATGAGCAACAGCAAGATTAAAAGAAATGCACCCATCAATTTATCAAAAAAAGATACATCTGCTGCAAAAAACAGTATGTGCTCCATCAGAGGTTACCACTGTTGTTGCTTTTTAATTCTTACTAAAATGCTTGAGATTATCTTAATACCAGAAAAAGATAATAATAAATACAAAGAGCAGTTTTTCCAAGCCATGATTTCATTTATGGGATGCACCATGGAGCATCCCATAAACGTCCGCATGAAGTTGAAGTTGTTGGTCTCCCTCCCACAGTCCACAGACATAACTGTTAGTTATTTTTGACAGGACTGTGCATAAAAAATAATGTCCAATTATATTTTGACCTATAGCAACTTTGTTGTGATAAATGTTGAATATTTTTTCATATCAAGGAATGTGTAAAAAAAATAAAACCGTTCAATGTTGAGAAGACAATCAGCTTATTCAAGAATCATTATCGCTGTTCATTATTACTAAAGAATTATTCAGGAATCAGCCTAGATAAGGGACTTCCTGTTTCAAGACTGGCAGGAAACATGACCCAACTAAAGTTCCTGTTAACAGGTAAATGGAAGAGAAGATTCATGTGGAAGACTCAATGACTGGATGAAAGTGGAATTCATTAATGAATACTGAATCTGCATTTTCCAAGGAAATAAGGCTTTACCATTTATTTGATGCCATTCCCTTGAAATAAAGATGGCCACCAAATTTAGAGTAGCATCACCTCAGTGATAATATCAGGCTTATTCAATTCAGTTTAGGTTGCACAAATACACAACACATCACCTCAAGGCACTTCACAAAAAATACATTTCAATACAGTTACATTCAAAACATTACAATCAAACCTATTTATAAAAAAGTGCAGTCAAGTTCAATTTCTTATTCAAATGGGTTTAAAAAGTTTTTCTATCAAAGGAAACCCAACAGACTGACTTGCAGTATTCACTCGTCCTGTAGCAACAGTGGTCAATCGCTTGTATAGTCGCTGACTTTGCAGAAATGCGTCAAACAGAGCATGCATGTAGCAACAACAAAGAGGAAACTCCCCTTTAACAGGATAAACCTCCGGCAGAATACGACTCAGCGGCCATCTGCCATGACCAACTGGGGGTTTTAGTATACACACAAGAAACAGAAGCATTGATCTATAATTACTTCCTATATTAAAGAAAAGTAAAATATTAGCAGTATAAGAATGTTAAGTTGTTGGCAGCAGTGTCTCAGCCGATGGTTTCCTCAGGTAAGACGTATTTATGGTGTATGACCTACTTAAACCTTTAATGCTCGTATGTGAGAAAATATTAAATAAAAACTTACCGTCTTCTTCAGTAGAATGGGTTCCTTCTGAAATGTAAATTTCCAACTAAAGAAAACAAGAAGAAAAAAACAATTGATCAAACAACTTATGTTTGTTACCATGAAGACCAAAGATGACTAATACTAGCTTGGAGAGAAGGTGGTTTAGGATTCCAAATAGCATGAGAATAGATTGAAGAGACATAATAGGGAAAAAAAATTCACAAACAACAAAGAGTTTTAATAAATTTAAAGCATACCAATATTACTGCTGCTCAGAAGTCAAGAGAAACATGAAATCTGCCCATTGGGTCAGGGCTGTTCAGACTCACCTTGTGTTTAAATGGCAGACACCGCTGCAACTTCACTTGTATGCACAGGCCTGCAGACAACATCTTTATCAGACACAGATACTAACAGATCTACTGCAACAAAACAGGAAACAATAGACCAGTGTTCTAAAACTTTTCCATCTGAGGACCATTTAACCCATTTAAAGTGGATATACATTGCTTTTAAATCTTTCCTTGCATGTAAATCATTCATTGTGGCCAATATAAAGTGGAACTGCAATGCTGTGTTCTGAATTCCTGGTCACTAGAACTCAGACCAATAACGAGTAATAATTACAATAAGAGTAATAATTACAAATATTTAGTACTTAGTAAATTAATACTTTTCAATTTACTGACCGAGTCTTTCCAAACCCAAAATATGATCAGTTCTCCATCTGCCATTGTTTTCAGGTGGGTTTAGAGGAGACTTTTGCCATCAGCAAACTTGCTCACCAATCAGAGTAGCCAGGGAGCAATGAGGAACGGTTGGGGAGAATCTGATTATGATGAGGAACTCATCCTCGTTGAGCTCCTGAATCTCCACACATTTCTCTGTCACCACCTCCAGTTCCTCCAGGGTGTTCGGCTTCTCTGGGTCCCGGATGGATCGAATCACATCTGAGGAGGGAGGGAAGGAAATAAGTTTCCATAAGACGCTTGAAATCTATTAACGTCTACAATGACTGAACAATGAAATACAATGCTGTGAAAATGATTTATACTTTGCAAATTTCAGTTTTTTCTTATGCTTTTTTTTATTGCCATTTTGTCAGAGTTGACCCTCGGGGCACTTTGACTACCCAAAATGGGACATCCTGCTTTTACTGCGTTTTTAAAATTACTATTCCCAGTATCTCTGTCATCTTGCAGGTTAATTCTATGAAACTTGGCCAGAACGTTTTTTAAATTTTCTTTTTAAAATTTCTTTGTCCCTTTGATTGTAAGTTATGTAGAACAAAATGTATGCACTTTGTGTGCACTTAACATTCTGGTTCAATTGACTCCCATTATAACCACATATTTTTAATGGACAGTTAACCTTGTGTTTTAAAATAACTTTCTTATGAAGATCAAACTTATCTTATCTTCTGCCTTCGAACTACAATGACAACTTGTTTTAGGTGTGATGACTCCCCTAATATCACCACAGGCTTCACCTCTTTATTTTGTCAAGTCTCAATGAGGGAATGGTCCTATTATCTTTCAAAATGCATGGCAAAAATATATTGAACGCCACAAAAATAGTCTTGGTGTGTTGGCAATGGTGTAAAGGAGTGGTGTGAATATGATAAAGAACATATTTTCTAATTTAAGGAATCAAAGTCAAGTACCCTTTGTTTATGTTTTCTTTACTATGGGAGATTCCGATGTGTGGCATAGCAAGTTTATGCAGGTTAATCTGTCAGATCTTCTACACATGAAGAGAGTCTGCTATACTTCTTTAGTAAGTGACGAGTCACATGACAAAATGTTAGGAGAGTACAGCTATTTCTATTCAAATGTAGTGAGTAAAGGTAAAAAGTGGTCAGAAAGATAAATACTCAGGTATAGATACCTGAAAAATCTACTTAAGTATAGCAACGAAGTACTTTTTCACTTTACAACTCTGCCTGCAATTAACATAGAATGATCTACACCAGGTTTGAAGTGTCCAGCTGTCAGGAGCTGGAGCGGTTTTAATGTGGTACAGATCAATAAAAAGCGTCGAAATAGCCATTAAGGAAACTTCACAATTCAAATAAAAGGTTTCAAATATCACAAACTTAGTCTTATTCTGCTTTAGTGCTGAATAATCTAGTCCAGGTTTGAAGAGTCCATGTGTTGTATTTTTTTAAAGGTTAAATAAGCTCAAGGTACTGAAAAAAATAGGTGAAATTGCCTTTTAGCCATAAATTTCCGAATCGGAATTTTCAGCTTCATAGTCGCAAAGGAACAGGAAATAAAGGCGCGAGCTTTTTCTATGCATTACCTTTCCAGCTCAACTAGCACTCAGTCTGACGTTAGAAACGCCTATAGACCTCTGACTTACCGTACACGTCCAAAGCTTTTTCCTCCATCGGCTTGATGTTCATGCCATTTCTGATGAGTCCGGACAGCTGGAAAATTTTTTCGAGAGCTGATGATAGAAGGCTGGACACTATTTCCATTCTTTAACAAGCGCCATGATAAACGATAACGTCTCAAGAGAGACTAACTTCTTCTTTTGTTCAATGGCGATTGTCAAACAACCTAATAGAGCATGACTGCCACCAACTGGGCAGTAATGCCAGTTGGTGAGCTCTCTCTCTCTCTCTCTCTCTCTCTCTCTCTCTCTCTCTCTCTTATATATATATAGCATAAATTTAAAGCAGATAGATAGATAGATAGATTCCTCATGAACCACACTCCTTACCCGTAGGTGGCGGTAATGCACCTTAAGTTGTTTGCCAACTGCCAATAAATTTCAAGAAGAAAATATTTCGGTCACCAGTTCACCCCTCTTCTAATAGTGTTGTTGATTTTGTTGGAGAAAAGGAAAAAAAGAAAACCTTTTAGATCCATATTCAGTACAATCATATTTAGACAATAAGCACTATAGATATGTCCAAGTTTATACAGATGGTTCAAAAAAACTCAAATAGCAGTAATGGGGTGTCATCCATTGTTCCAGAATTCAGTATTAAAAATGTAAAAGAATTACTGATGGAGTATCAGTTTATACAGGAGAGATGATGGGAATCATTTTGGCTTTAGGATGGATTGAGGAAGTTCGTCCACTGAGAAGTATATTATGTTCTGATTCAAGTTCATCATTATATTAATTTAAAAAATAATCATTCTATTAGTAGACCAGACCTTTTATTAGAGATTCAGTTATTAATTTATAGAATTCAGGCAATGGGCTTATTAGTTATATTACATGGGTACCATCACATGTAGGAAAAAAGGAAATGAATTGGGAGACAAATATGCAAAACAAGCTACAAAAAATAGTTATATTGATATATTAATAGCATTCAGTAAAGAAGAAATCAAATCTATTATTAAACAAAAGGTTAAGGAAAGATGGCAGAAGCAGTGGGAAGAAGATAGAACTGGTAGGTGTCTTTACAGTATTCAAAGAAAAGTTGGTGCAATGAGGAGAACAGGACGAAATAGAAAAGAGGAAACCATTATATCCATATTACATTTTGGTCATACAGTGTTAAATAGCACATTATTTAAAATGGGAAAACATCCAACTGGAAATTGTGATTTTTGTCTTCAAGAAGAGACAGTAAAACATGTTTTGTTGTTCTGTTCTATTCTGTTGAGAGAAGGGAATTAGTATGTTGATTACAAGAAAAATAAATTACAGTTAAATATACAAGATATTTTGGACAAAACTTCTACTTCTGAATATTTTTGTTATTTAATAAGTTACCTTAAGAAAACGAAATTAATAGAAAGGATATATTTGTTTTTTTGTGGGAGAATATGTAGCATCCCGATCCACACTCCATTCCAGTAGATGGCGGTAATGCACATCAGTAAGTTGCTTGCCAACCGCCATAAATAAAGAAGAAGAAGCTATTTCGGTCAGCTGACACTAGAAGTAATGTGACTCGTTGAACTGGGAAGCTGTTGACGAGAAAGAAATGGTTAAATCTTTCCCGTCTTATTATTCAGATATCTTTATCAAGGCAATTTAAACCGGTCAAACACTATTCTGTAACTGTGAGGAGATGTTGGATGGACAGAACTCCATAGAGGTGCTGGTTATTCCTGAGAACCAGCACTGTGGTCAGCTTGCAGACATCCAGAAAGCCGAGCTGTGTCCTGCGGGCTCCCTCCTCTGCTGTCTTGGGGTCTCGGGCCAGCTGTTGGTGTGGGACCCTGGGGATAGAGAGGCCCCTCCGGCTGCATCGGACGGCTGCTTTGTAGAGTGAGTTCTGACTGGTCTTCACTTCCCGTGTTTGTGAAACAAGATTTGTAATGCAATTTACTGCTGACTAAACGGCTTTTATGCTCTAACCGAATCGAGACAGACAATAGTTTTCAACAGTGACCCATCCTACAATAAAATCTTTCTCTAAAATCTTTTTTAGCAATACAAATGTAAGACTCGTGCTAAGTCATGTGCCATGTACGTTTATTTCACACAGCTGCATTCAAACAATTTTTTTCTGCAAAGAATGGTGCGAAATTCTGGTAAAGTCTTAATAAAGACACAAATAGTACTGTTATAAAATAATAAATTCCGTCAACACTACCAAATAAAATTCATAAATCTTTTGAAACCTGTCCTGTGGTCAAAATTTGTTTGCCGTTTATTCAGTGAAGTTGCACATGGTGTAGGTAGTGTAAAAGTTACAGAAGTAATGTAACTGAGTAAATGTAAATACTTACTATATGTGACCTGGACAGAGTCTGTCACTGCTGGATTGATTTGTCTCTTATTTGTAGTTTTGTTGAATACAAAATCAACTACTGAAGTCTCTTTTTTTAAGGGATGTAGTATGTATCAGAATCATATCCAAATTAAATACTTCATGGAATTGCAGATAGTAGTGCTTATTCTGCAGATTAAAAAAAATAAATAACTTTTCCCTGTTTATAGTTTCTGCTGGGAGGAGGCGACTACAAGCATTTTGGGAGTCAGCAGCTTTAATTTGTTGGCTGTTGGATCACAGGGTGACCTAACGCTATTCGAGGCTGAAGCAGAACAATCCACCCCAGTTTCTTTACTGACTGTGCAAAAGTGTAATGTAGATAATCTGCTGGAAATTGTCAAAGAGAGCGACAAAAGTGAGTACTCAGTTGTTCTTACCTGCTGATTTTTGTTTCAAAAGTCTTGATGTTAACTGGTTGACAGCCAAAAAATTGTCTGGGGTTTTTCAACTCTCTTAGGGTCATTTTGATGAGCTGAATCCAGAAATCACATTGGTTTTGCTGAATCAGGTCAACTTTCTGAACCATAGCGCACCATGAGCATCAAATGCTTGACTTGTTCTCACATCTGAATCGGTTTCCTGAGAATCTGATCAATGAGTGATGAGGAGAGATTCCATCAGGACAGAAAAGAGATGGAGAATTTTACACAATGAAGACGTAATGTTCAATTCACATGTACTTACCTTTAGTAGTGTTTGTTGCACACTTAATGATCAGTCAGTGTGCTTTTTCGCAGGTTCTTTATTTTGAGGAACGCTGTTAAAACAAGAGCGACAGTGAGCGCCTCCGCTGACCAGCCGTTGCTGCGCTTAATTGCCATTGGCTCTCCTCACAAACAAATATTTACAATATAAGCGAAAAAAGAAATATTTACCATATAAATCAAAGAATTGTTCACACAAAACTTCCACAAATATATATCGCCACTCCACTCCAGCTCACTTCCCCCACAAGACAGCGTCAATACAAATAGCAGCGCTAATTGAGATTACCTGTTAAAACAAAAGCGACAGTTAGCGCCTCCGCTGACCAGCCGTTTCTGCGCTAAATTGCCGTTGGCTCGCTGAGTAAGGAGTGCTGCTCACCGTGCTCCACGTGCCCACCGGTGGCGAACATAAGAAAAACAGAAGCAAGTAAACAAAGCAAGAAAAGGGAGGGGAGTGCAATCATTTCCAATGTCCATTCTGTCACATGTTTATTATACAATTTACAGAAGTCCAAGTTTGTAACACTTAATAAAAACACTGTGTTAGGTAAATTTCTTTCTCCTAAATAAAAGAAATATTAACAGAAATTAACTGATAATGTCACATAAATGTCATCAATTTAGTTAGATCAGATTTCTCAAAAGCAAATTAGAATAAAAACCCGATTGAGAAAAATGGATGTCATTTATGGATTCAGCGGTGCAAAACAATCCTAATTCAGTTGAAAAAAACAGACAACTTCCAAAAAAAGTTTTTTGTAACTCGGTGTTATGCTCTTGTTGCCAGGTGTGTGTGAGCTGGTGTCTGTACAGGTCTTGTCCTTTATGGCCAACCAGTGCTGTGTACTGGTAAACAGTGACTGGATTCTGCAGTTGCAGTGGGAACAGGCGTCACAAGAACCAAAGAAGGTCTCCTGCTGCAGAATCCAGCTAACGACCAGTGACAGACATACTGCTGTTCACCACTGTGTCTTTGCAGAGACCTTATTTGTCCTCAGCTCCAGTGGACTCATTTGTATCCTGCAAAAAGCCTCTTATACTGACAGTAAAAATACTGCTTTGAAAAGCTGCAGAAGCTCTGTCTCCTCATAAAGCAACAGCCCCAAGCTAGCACAACCAGTGGAAAATTAAAGAAAACAATAATCATGTAAAACGCTTGTCCTAATCCTGGGAGCAGCATTCAGAATAGAATATGTTATGACTGCTTTTAAAATTTTGGATATGGCTGGAAAAAGAATATGAGTAAAGAACATACACACTGCAGCTTTAAACCAGGTTTGTGAAAGAAACCCTGGATATAATAAATGCGATGTGATGTGACTGATCTAAAAAAATAAAAATAAAAAAACGGATTGCCATTTTATAGTTTGTTAGTGTGTGAAACAATGCATTTCTGCCCAAAGAGTGTTTTCCCTAATCAGTCCACCCGATCAGATGTGTATGCCATTACTGATGGCTCTCTGCTGGCCAGCATTGACATTCCTTCCTACCTGAGCTCTGGTTGGCCGGATGGCGGCCTGACTTCCTCTTCACTCTCTTCCTCCTCCTTCTGTCTTTTCCATGTGTCAGCAGATCTCTGCACAGCTGTAGCTGTAACTCAGTCTCATGCAGCAGTCACCGTTAACCTTAACCACTACTTCAGGTACAGAAGTCAGTTCTCTGTTAATGTTTTCTAATTGCTTTGTTTACAGCAGTGATGTATGGCATTCCTCCTTAAGGTCTACTGTAGACTTTCCTTCATGTGTGTTACTCCCTCACTCTGTGAAGATGATAGGGGCATTTGGGTGACAGTGATATTTGCTCTTTGTCTAAAAGATTGAACACATGTTGATGCATACATATAGAACTGATTTGAAAAACATTGCTTTGTTACTTTCTCTCAGTAGATTAAGATCACGATTGATCATAGATTTAGTGTGAGACTAAGTTTATGTGTAGCAAAAATAAGGATATGATTTGGCATCTTGTTTTAACACTTAGCATAGTGGCTGGTAGACCATGAGCCTTTGGGTTTTAATTATAGCTCTCGGTCTTTTTGACTCAGCCCTGGCTCCAGAGTAGTTTAGCTAAGTTGGCATAGTAAATGGATTTTTAATTTAATATGAATACATAAACAAACTTCCTTTCAAATAAGAATAGCCATATTTATTAATACAAAATAAACAATAATGATGTAAACAGTGACATGGAGAAATGTTTTCAACCTCTGAAGACAATTTCTTTAAATGCAAACTCATTCTACACAAGTAAGTACTATAGCGCATTAGGGCCATTGTAGGTAGAAAAAAAGGAGTACATTTCCACTGAAAAAAACTTTCCAGAAAAAAAATAAAAACATTTTTGAGCTGAGCAAAAGTTGAAAATTTGCTAGAAAGAACCTCAAAAAGTTTGAGATGCATCTCAGAATTCTTTTTCTTTCTTTCTTTCTTTCTTTTTTTTTTAATTTCCATGTTTTCTTGAAAATGTCAGTTTTTTTTCTAGCAATTTATGTTTTCTTTTTTTTAAAAAAATCTACAATGGCCCCCTAATACACTGTAAGATACGGAGCCCTCCAGGGGACATGGGGAATTTTTTTTCTGTTGCGTTTCCTCGCAAAACTTTTGCGTTCCTTCGCAAAGGTTTTGCGTTCCCTCGGAATAATCTACTGATCAGTTCATGCAGCATAATTGAATATTGTAAGCCTTTTTACGGTGGCCGCCGTACTTTCTGCTTTAATACAAGCTTATAAGGTTTTTCCATGGACTATTGAGTTATTATCGTGGGGTAATAAGTCATCTGATTGTGTCTCTATTGTGCTCGTAGTCTGAATTGTTTAAAGGGCTGCTTTCAGTGCCGTTCCATCTTAGCCTTAATAGACATAAACATGCAGTAAATAAATCGATTTTCAATCAGTTTTTTGCACCAAAGCGTTAATAATAATAAACACGTTTTATTATTATAAAACACAGCAAACTAATGGTGGTAGACGGCCCCACTGGATTAACTCAGGGAATCTCATCTGTCCGTGTATCGATCAACTCCTAACCTCTTCTTTGTTCTGTCACAATTATCGATTTATTTAATTTTTATTATCATGCTCCAAACTTTCCGAGGACTGACCACCCAGCTCACCCGCTTCCTCATACACACAGAGCCAGCAGCCAGTAACCTTCCCATTCATACTTGATGACAGTCACGCCCACATCGACACGCCCACCACCAGGTGTCAAAGCTGCTGCTCCTGTTATATCAATAATTACTTATTTCATTCATATGGCTCTTACAGAGCCTCTGTGAAAACGTGTTTATTATTATTTATTATTATTTATTATTGTTTATGTCTGTTAAGGCTCAGATGGAACGGCACTGAAAGCAGCCCTTTAAACCATTCAGACACACAATAGAGACACAATCAGATGACTTATTACCCCGCGATAATAACTCAATAGTCCATGGAAAACCTTATAAGCTTGTATTAAAGCAGAAAGTACGGCGGCCACCGTAAAAAAGGCTTACAGTATCAATTATGCCGCATGAACTGATCAGTAGATTATTGCGAGGGAACGCAAAAGTTTTGCGAGGGAACGCAAAAGTTTTGCGAGGGAACGCAAAAGAAAAAAATTTCCTCATGTCCCTTACTACGGAGCCTGGAGGGCTCCTTAGTAAGAGCAGGATCAGTTAATGATATTATTCAAGTAAAAGTAAAAAAGTACAGTGCAGTAAAACAACTCTTATAAACTCCCTTGGTGTTGGAGCAGTTTTGACAATGGTTGGAAAATATTTTAGCTGCTCCGTTACTAAAAAAACAACCTTCTGGTTTGTTGCACGTTAATAAAGTAAAACTGTCTTCCAGAGAACACCCAGAACACCTCCACTGTGTTGGCCCCCAGTCTCCTTCCTCACTTCAGCCCAAGGATCCAGGAGACCAGGACGCCCTGTCCAGCTCCAGCTCCAGTTTTGCTGCTGTTGGTTCTCCATTCAGTGATAACCGGTACAACCACTGATGACAGACTGTCCTTTTATGATGCAGCATATGTTTACTGTCCACTTGAAAACAATACAGTTGTAATGGATTCAGTACTGATCCTACACATGCACACAAATATCACACTGAGGAACTTTTCTCCAAACAAACTTGAACCACTCATGAGTGACGTTCCAAAATTTCCATTAAATGACAAATTAATATAAAAAAAAAACAAATATTGTACACAGTATTTTGAAATAAGTATGTATAACAAAGTTTTTAAAAAATTCAGTTTATATTTTGGGATGTTGTACCTCTAACCAGATGGTCATAGCTCATACTTTGAGTTGAGGATGTTGAACATGTCTGACAAATTGTCCTGTGCCTTTCAGATTAATGATTAATGACTTTGAGGATATCCGGTCTTTCTTTTCTTCTTTTAGTGCCTGGGACACTTGTCTAGCATCCATGTATGCCAGAGCGCAGCAGGCTGCTTATCCCTCATCCCCCTCTAAGTCAGCAGGGATTCCATGGTTTCACTCGCTCCCCCGCTTGCCGTCCCACCCAGCTGCCATGTCCTCCCACAGCAGAGTGCCTCCCAGTGGGGCGATCGTCACCTTCTCTGTCCCTGACTCATCTACTCCTTCTCTTCTTGCCGTTTCTGAGTTCTCTGCACTTTTGACCTTTGTTGCTCCTGGCAACACACACACAACAGTGGCATTATGGGAAATGGAGTCTGGGAGAATGAGCTACCATCAGGCAGAAGGAACGGCTGTGCCGGTGCAGCACAGTGGAGAGAGGCAGCACAGACTGCTGTTGAAGAGTAAGCTAAGCAGTGGCACAGTATTTATTTTTTATATCTTCCACTGGTGCATCTTATGTACACATTTAACAACTTAGCCATTGAAATGCCATTTTAAAGGGGAAAAAAAACAAACAAATTTAACACCAATTTACAACCCTTTGTGTACAGTTTGTATTTATCTCCAATGTTTCCTGGGCAGTTTGCAAATATTTGTATTAAAATAATATAGGAATCAGACAATGTTTGTTTTAAGACTACACAGATTGATTATCCTGCCAGAACTAATTAACACGTCATCACTCCTCCTTCACATTGACGTGTGTTTTTCTTCAGAGTCAGGTGTGTTCCAGATCGTGTTTTCCATGTCCCAGCAGGATTTATTAAGCAAGCTGATGTTGTTTGGCAGTGCAGCAACAGTGGACGCAGTCTGTCACCTTAACAGCTGGGGCCATTGCTCCATTCCCTTCCATGCACTGCAAGTAGGCATCTCATTCTACTACAAAAAAAAATTGATTTATCGATTGATTTCCTCTGTGTTGCTTCTTTTGCTTTTTGTTTTGCATGCAGGCTGGACTGAAAAACCGACAGCTTGACACAGTAGATTTATACCTGAAAAGTAAAGAAAATGTCCTGAACCCATCAGCAACAGCTGGTTTTTCTGAGCAGTTGGCAAACTCCAAACCGAGTCTCAAGGACAGTAAGTACTCAAGAAGACTTGAACCACGACGATGTGTAAACTAACATCTCGCTCTTTGCTTGGACTCTGCTGTTATCTACTACCAAAAAATGGAAAAAGGTTTACTGAAGCCTTAGAGTTTTGATGGAAAGCTTTCAAGTGTCTTATATATTTGTTAAACCATATTGAATATGGTGAAGAAACAACTTAAAACGGAAGTTTGATCAAGTCAGAAGTTTAATGGCATCATTTGTAGCTTTTACTATATTTAATACAAGTCATATTTTACTTTAAATTATGGACTCAGTTGAATATTTCATAAATGAAAATGGCTTGGCCAAAAAAGATGGCAATGTTTTTGGCAGCACCCTTTTCAGCAGTTACTGCTAGCAGCAAGCAATGTTTGAACTGTAAAAGAAGACGTCTATATTTGCTGACAGGGATTTCAGTTTTAAAGTGTCTGTTTTCCAAATTGTGGTTTTCACATCTTCTACATTAAGCATAAACATAAACAAATTAAACATACAAACTCAAGAAGGGTTTTTAAACAATAGTTAAAATTTTCTCTGCCATTTTCAGACCTTTTAGCTTCATTTGAGTTATCCTTTTGAGGAAAACACTCTTTTTTTGGAAGCCTTATTTTTGTGAACTCTGATCTGATGTGATGGAGCAAAAGGCTCCACTTTTTTCATTATTCCAGAAAATTAATCTCCCAAGATGGTTCATTAATTTTCAGATTTTCAACTGTCCAATTTTCAGATTGGGCAATTGTTGCCCTGACCTAGTATTTGTGAAATGTTTATTTGACACTGTTATTAAAAGTCTGTAGAATTCCTTGATTTAATAATTCCTTTGTAATGTTTTCATATTCTATCAAATTTATATATCAGTTTTTGCTATGATTATTTTAAATCATGTTTATATAAAAAATAAAAAAAACAAATCATGTTCATTGATATTGAACAATTGATATTCCATACAATTGACATTGTATGGAATTACTTTTTTAATGGTTTTTGGAAGCTAACTTAAAGGTAGAAAAATTTACAATGGTCATAGTCGTAACGGCCAATTAGGAGCTGATTGGAGATCCATGCATAACCTATGTATGATGTATTTTTGTGTTTCTGAATGTAAAGACACATGGCTGTCCTTGAGTTTTTGTTGGCTTATTTCCATGTAGGTGTCCAGGAGTTGTTGCCTGCGTTGGATTTGTTGTGTTCAGCTGTCAGAGAGCTAAGGAGTGAAGCTCAGAGCCGACAGTTCTCTGAGCAGCTGCTCAACCTCACCATGAGCTTCATTAACACACAGCTCCGCTCTGTGCTCCTCTGGTCGCACCGTAAGGCAAACACAGCTCACAGTTACTTCACTTTACTGATATGCTTTTTCACTATTTGGGATTCAGAGAGCTGGAGGTGTTTTGTTGTGCTTGCAGATGAGCAGTCAGATGTGCAGAGCAATGTTGAAGTCCTGGGTAAGTATGTCACAGAGTTGAGGGGTTATATGAAGAGATTCCCCTGGGCTTCAGGTGACTCCACATCTGATGCTAGTGCTCCTCTCCAGGGAGCAAAGAGTGATGAATGGGAGCAACTTTCAACTGAGGTGACGTTCCAACTTGTATTTTATTTGTTGTAGTATGAATCATTAGAAAAACATAGTGTACCTTTTGTATTTTGTGTTGTCATCAAGTATGTAATTATCAGACTGAACTTGCTTTGCAGGAAGTTATCCATCAGTCCATCCTGACCAATCAGATCCCCAGAGCTCAGGCCGTGATGTGGAGACAGAACCGGCCTGAAAAGCAGCTGGCAGCTCTGAGGATGGTGGGCCTGCGCCAAGTTTTGCTCTGCCTGCAATGCAAGGACCTAAAGTCTGCCAAAAAATTCCTGACCAACATGGTAAGAACACTAATCCAACTGGACGCTAACACACAGCTTGTAGGAATATTTTCATAAAAAAAAAAAAATCTTTCTTTATTCTGGGATTTAGCAACTAAATGTAGTTTTCCTGACTGACATGAAATGGACAATGTGGAAAAAGGTTAGGGCTACATGCTGTATAAGAAAATGTAAGGTTTGTTTTTTCAAATATAATTATTTTTCTGAAATGTTCAGTAATGGGGAAATACTTACTCTGCAAGTTTGACCTTGCTGAATAACACAAAACCTGTTATTCCCAGGACTCCTTGAATTTCTAACATATAGGATCTTGAACCCACAAAGCGACTGAGAGAGACGATGACAGCACAGAAAGTTTACAGAATACATGACATTTATTAAGAATTCAAACAGCAATAATTATATTGATTTTATTTCTTTTTTTAAACTCTGTTCTCTAATCTGTTGAAAAGACGCATTGTTTTGTTGGGTAGAGACTGAAATTACAAGATTATTGTGCTGAATATTTTTTTTTTACCCAGATCATTTCTATTATTTCCACATGCAAAAAATCCTAGAAATTAATTTTTTTTTACTTTTTATCATCCTTTTTGGAAATAAGCTGATGATTGTTGAGCTAAATCCTTACCAGTAATTTTCCTAAAGAGGTAAACTGCAACATTTTGTTGTCTGCAGGGTCTCAGTGTGAAGAAAGAGCTTCACAACATCTGCCTTTATACCAACAACAAAGGTCTCCGGGAATTGTTGGTGAGTCACGATTCTTACAACAAACACCAAATGAGACGTTACCTTTATGTGAGAGTTAACCAGGATGTTTTGTTTTTGGTACCTTTTGTACTTGAACATGATTTTGTTATTGCTTTTTATATGTTTTAACACATACTGTGAATAAAGTGCTGTCATAGTCATTCTGATTTTTCTGTGTTCAAAGCCTCTGGCACCTTGCCGGCTCAAACCTGCACTTGTACAGGAGCATCTAAAAACGTTTAAATATTCACAAAGCTTATTTATTTTAGTAAGTCAGTCACAAAAATTAAACTCATCTATAGCTTCATTACCCACAGTGATTTATGTTGTTTATTTCTGTTAATTTGCATAACTTTGTCGTACTGTTAATAAAAACAGTGGACAGGGCTAACATTATGGAACAAAAACCTGCTCAACATATGCTTTACCTCTAGTTTAAATCTTTTAAATCAAAGATTTTAAAAAGCAGCTTGTTTTCGAAGTTCCTTGTTGAAAATTCGACCTTCATATCAAGGGCGTAGGAACGAGTCTGTCATTGGGGGGGACGCATATCGGAAACCTGACAGATCAGTAAATAGCTTGAGCAGAATTGTCAAACAATTATGCCATCCAGGGCCGTGCAGGGACCACTAAAGGGGCAGGTGCTCAAAAAAAAAGGGCACATCTCACCGCATTCTAGGACAGAATATTAACAAAGCCACACAGCTTTCAGAGTTTAATAAACAATGATAATTTACAGAATTGTGAGATACACAATCAAAGCTAAGGAAAATCTCTATATAGAGCATACAGCTATGCATATGTAAGATATTTTATTAGTAATTTCTTTCTGCAGGTCTATTTTGTTATAAGTATTGCCATATTCAAACCCGCAATTTAGCAGGACATGTAAATCAGAGCTAAACCACCAGACATAATATGTCTTTACAGAATTACACTATTAAAAATGTAAACAACAAATAATTTTAGTACGTTATTATGTGTCAGAAGAGGGCTTAGAAAATAAGACCAAAAAAAAAAAAAAAAAAAAGTTTGACCAAAAGGGCACTTGGGGGCAAGGAGCAAAAGGGGCAGGTGCTCAAGCCCCCCCAGACCCTCCCTCTGCATGTGCCTGATGCCATCAACACATCAGTAAAGCATTACTCTAATCTGACCCTTGTTTCAGTAACAAGTATTCTAACATGTTACTATTTACAATCCAATAATCAGATTAAAGTTATGCATAGTATAATGACCGTCATTCCAGGATGAACACTCACTTTAGCATTTGCCTCACAACTAGCAAGCTAAATACTCTGGTAGCACAGACAGGCTACCAGATTCTGATATATTTTATTGGTCAAAAGACATTTGATTATTGGTCAAAATGCATTGATATAAATTGACTGGTAATTGAACTGGTTCTACCTCTTTCTAAAACCAAAGTAGAAAACAGCTCATAAAATAGGACTCGGCAGTTTTAAACTCAATACAGCAATTTGACCAACAAAAATAAAATCTAAACAAGTTTTGTTCTTCTTTAACAACTCTCTACATCAGTGCAACAGTTTGATCTACAAAATAAATAAAAATTATTCTTTTCACGTCTAACAGTCCTTTAGCTCCTCACTGTTAACTCAGTCTCACTTTCCAGCCCTGCATTCAGTAACTTTCCAAAGATCCAAGAAAAACACTGAGGCAAAAAGACTAAATGTTTTTTTTTTTTTTTCCCTGTCATTTTCAGCTGCAAACATTTAACTAAAATATCTACAGATATGTGTTTCTGTCTCTGCCTCTTAACTCACTGCAGCCTGATGTTACTGCATGGATTCATGGATTTACAACAGACACTTCAGTAATGTACAGTGTCAGAATGTTAACTAAATATAAAAAGTATGTTTTTAACATACAGAATGAGAATTTAAACAACTTAATTTTCAGATGTATGCATTATTATACATCTCAACCCTTTTTACTGTGTAGCAAAAATTTTCACTAATTTATTTTTAAACCTCTCCTCAAGCACTTTTTTTATTGTCTCCTGTAATTAATATAATTTTTAATATAATTAATTAATATAATTTTATATCTTTACACTGAAACTCCACCTGGCTCTCTTATGTCTTCCCTGACCTGCTCCTCTCATAAATAGTTTATTTAAAAATTAAAAACAGTTAATACATATTTCAATAAACTAAATGAAGACCTCACCAGAGCTTCTTCACCTTTCAACATCATTCTAGCACTGCTGTTCTCCTAAATATCTAAATAATATAATATAATATAATATAATATAATATAATATAATATAATATAATATAATATAATATATAAATACATGTTAAGTGGTCGAGTGATCAGATGTTGTTCACTTTAAATAATAAAAAGGCTAATTTCGCTGCTGTTTCAGTCTCATTCTAAATCATTGTAACTAGACTAGCTAACTTTTAAACAAAGTTAGCAGTAAAATTTTGGACATGTGACTATCCCAGAATTAAAACGGCTTAACCTAAAAGATTTAGTTCTATATATGAAAG